TCGAGTTGACTGATAATATTGCTGCTTTCCATGGGGTGGTATGCTAGTCCGTTTCTAGTTTTCACTACGGCTTCCCATTACATTTGTTTGACAGTTCACAGGTAAACCCTTTTGTACTTCTGGCTGGGGAGAGAGGTGTAGTGAGAGTAAGTTGTGTTGCCCCAAAACACGACACGATGACCAGCGGGTCATGTCTCAAACCCGTACCTTTCGGTACAGAGTTCAGCGCGATTGCCTTTCGGTCACCGTGTCTCCAACAGTAAGGAGAAATCTAACGCTTATTGTTTCCTCCTAGCCGCGACAGAGAGGCCGAGAAGGACGCTAAACTTGCCACATTACGGGATAAAATAAACGCTGTTCAGTTGGTGTTGCAGAAGTGCACAGGAAAGTTGGAGAACTTGAAATCCTCTGGTGCCCCAATTGACCTCCAGGGGGTCGAGGACCAGCAAAACATTGTAAAGGTACTGATATGGAAAGATTAAGGACCTCATGATTGATGTTTAACCAATATAAAATCAGGCAGAGTTCTTCATTGAGATTTGTTATGTTTCCTCGGATTACTTTGTCAACAATTTAATTTGTTATAAATGTGAGTTACGTCTTTTACCCGTGAGATAAAGTATTTCGGGAAGAGAATCAAACTACTTTAACTTTACTTCGTTCACACGCCAAAATCAATTAATTTATAGTTCCTAATCAAACGAGAGAACAAAGACATGAGATAAGGCCAAGTGCTTCTGACGAAGTTAACAAAACGATGATTTTACAACTGAGACGCACAAAACTGACTTACCAGTTCGTAAGGAGTTGAAGTAAATGCAAAACATAATAGACGAACAAGTTTGTAGTATTTCTCTCCTGTATTTTTGGTTTGGCATTACACAGTTAAGTATTTGTCAGGTTGTGAGTTTCGCGTCTGGCATCAGGAAGTCTTATTCTTCATTTATTTGTCTGATTAGAATACGAATAAGGTGACATCAAGAGATTCATTCTGAATCAACCTTTTACAGAGAGTTTTTTCTTCCCAGGAATGTGATTCTGAATTAAAGGATGGTGAACCATTCTTGCAAGACGTCATTTTGTACGGCAGAGAGCTCTCACAAGATGACCTGTTTGATAACAACGAGAAGGAGAACATTACACGTAACATGGCTCAATTACAGGAACACTACGATGAAATGAGAAATTTTGTCGACGACGAAGAAGAGGGGTTTGTTAATAATAATAATAATAATAATAATAATAATTATAATAATAATAATAATTATAATAATAATAATAATAATAATAATTATAATATACGTTAATTGAAGCTCCCCTTAGGAGCTTCTCAGCCACAATGTAGACTAACTAAGAGCTTGAAAATCCCCGCTGGCAGGAGGCAGACCAGTAGCCTATTTACAGAGCGCAGCCGAGGAGTTGAACTAGGGGCAACCGAGAACAAATCCAGTGAGTGACAGGGTGAAGGACTTGAACCCGGGACACCGGATTACAAGTCCAGCACCCTAATCACTCGGCCACGCCGCCTCCTTCGTTGTTGTTTTCATTAACGCTTGATTTAAACGCCGAAATTCGATTTATATCACTTTCATCGTAGAGGGATCTAGGGATGATATGGAGTTCCTAAACTCGGATGTTTTGTTTGGTTTACTCAATTGGATTTGTTTCTCGGTAGTCCCGAACCCCTACCCTGCAAACACTCTTTGCACATCGAGTTTTGAAAACAGTTATCTGACTGATCTACTTGAGTTTCGTTGTGCATTTCTTGTGTCTCTTACCTGTGAATCGACTTATAAGAAACTGTCAAAGTGAATAAAAAAAAAGTAGTCTTCAGTGGTCACCATGGTTATTATGTTTTCTCTAGTCTCAGCGAGCTGCGTGGTGAATTAGAGAAACGAGAGAAGATCCGAGACTGGGAGAGAAAACGAGAGGAATTGAATGAGAAGCTATCCCAATGTGAAGATAAGTTACGCCTTCAAACTCAGGATCAGAAAAGAGTCGAATACACACCCAATGAAGAACGTTTAGCTGCAGCAAAGGTAGGAAAATGCTTTTACTGAGATCAAAGCGTGTTTCAGCCACAGCCTATTGTTAATTAGATTCTTCATTGCTTTCTTTCTCGCAGAATTTATCGAAGGAAATCGTCCATCTTGATTCCGAAGTAGCTAGAGTGACAGAAGATGGAAATAAACTCGTGCAAAGGGAAAACATCGGGGGTGACGTGGAAGAAAAATTGAACAACGACATACATGATATCGAAGAGAGATACAACCAGCTTAAAATCAACAGGAACGATAACGTTAAAAGGTCTCTATTTTGATTTAATAACAAATCAGGGCCTGTCTGTCTTTCAAACAGGGAACTTTTGATGCGACACCATTGTCGCGGTGAATAGTCACGAATTCACATTTCATTATTACTGCTTAGTAACCTGTTTGCTCATTTACGACGTCGCAGAGGGCTGGAATCACTAAACTAGGCTGAGAAACAGTTGCTGCTGCATTATCTGAGTATACAATGCCTCTTTAGGGTTGCTCAAAATTATTATGAAAGATCGCCCAATGCAGTAACGAAGGCGCATTCCACCAAGTTGGGAAAGTCTTAAAAGCCGAAAATGGGTTCGATGTCAAACTTGTATGAATACTTTTTAGTAGCTGGGATAAAATCATACAGTTTCTGGAGTGGAAATCCTCTTTTAACCTTAGTTCAGGGATGATTACTGCAGGTAGCAAAAATTATTTGGTTCTCAAACCAGCTTTTAAATTTTGATCGCAGACTGGAGGACGCGATTTCTCAGAGAGAGTCTGAAAAGAGGAAGGCGCTTGATAAATGGCAGGAGGTTACTGATAGAATATCAGTAATTAATGTTGACGCCCGAACAAAATTACGTCTCATCAAGGAAAAGGATCCCCACTCCGCCCCTGAAATACAAGAACAGCTCGAAGCGCTACAGGTAAAAATTGTCGTTGCACAATAATCGGAACGAAAGGTATTTCATTTTCCTCTTTGTTTTGATTTTTTTGTCAATTTTTCTATCGTTTTCTTTTATTCATTTCTTTGTTTTGTTTTTCTTCTGGTGTTAAGCTGCACATTATTCGTTAATTAACACTGTTAAGGTCTTTCCTCCGTTGCTCGTTTCTTTGCTGAATAGTTCTCATCCTCGTTGTCTTTTCCCCTCATCACTCGATGCCGAGGGGGGAGCACGAGATAGAATAGCTTTCCCTTGGGTTTTTTTTTTATCATTGAAGTCGTCGTTCCGAGACTCGCGTCTTTGAAGTCAGATTGTTAACTAGTCTTACATAATTACAACATTCGAAGTAGGAAATTCCTCTTTTATTCCCCATAGAAATGTACAAACAACGTACTGTCTGCGTTTCCTGAGATACAGTTTGGATATGATTACGGCAACGATCTCTTGGCCGGTAATCAACTTGGTGACGAGGAGAAGGATAAAGTAGAAAAAGATATGGACAACATTGGAGAAGACTTCAAAGCTCTACAAAAAGACATCAATGACGAGCAAGACAGGTTAGCCATATCATCTTTTACCTTTTTTCGATCTGAGTCACTCACCGCAAGTAATTTCGTTCGTTGTTTCGTGCGTTTGTTCGTTTATCGGTTCGTTTGATCGTTAATGTAGTTATCTCGAGCTTCGTTCGTTCGTTCGTGCTTTCGTACGCACGAGCTTTCGAAAGTTCGTTGGGTGTTAGTTTCTTCGTTCGTTCCGTCGTTCTTTCGTTCTTTCGCTCGCTCGTGCAATCTTTGATCACTCGTTTGATTGTTCACTCTCGATTTTGTTTGTCCTTTGTTCGTTAATAGTTGCTATTTTATAGGTTGAATGACTTGTTGTCAGAAAAGGCAGCCGAGAATGCACGAGCTCAAGAAAAATTGAAGAAATGGCAAGATGGTAAAGACAAGTTGAACTCCAAGTATAAAAAGACCCGAGGCAAGTTCAACAAAATCAAAGGTCAAGGAATTCCCAAGGAAC